TGTGGATTGAAGGGGGTCGCCTTGTGGGATTCATGGCAAGCAGAATTTAAGGCGAACTGGAACCATGAAAGGTTTTCATCCCACTTTGAATGGCCTGGTTATGGCAGGCAACTAGTGCGGAACACAAATTCCTATTAAACCTCTAAGCATGGGAAGGCTGAGGATAGAGGGAAGTGGTGGTAACGTGCTTAATTCCACGGGTAAAACAGAAATTCCGAAAGATACGGGATGTAAATTGAGTGGCATTGTAAGAAACAATGGTCTCGATGATGCCGAAAGTGGAGAAAATACTACACAATGCTCTAGTAGTCGCAGTAGTCTAGTAGTCTCGCAGTGACGGGATATGTGGGTATAGTGGGGAATTTCTTCTTAAGGTTCTCATAAACGGTAACCGATATTAACCTTAAGTGCCGAAGTGCCCCGTTTGTGCCAGTCATGAGTAAGGTCGTAATGGCCAAAGTGCCCCGTCAGGCATTTAAACTCTGCTAGTGGAAGCGTGCGCACACGCCACTATTGGAAGCACATGCACAGTCCTAACTATTTATTTTTAAATGTAGTAATTACCAGACAGACTTGAGTAAAACCCTAATAGTTGAATTAAATTAATACCTAAATTAACAACAGCAAATAAAAATATACGTATGAGTTACGCCAAAACTTATTCACGATCCAGTAATTTTATTGCAGATTCTGCAAATAGATATGTTAAAAATATATTGTAAAATTCGATGTACATAACTTTTTTGTTGTTACCTGCTTGATGTATATATAGGCTGAAATTATACTACAGTATTCGATTTCACTACGAACGCACAGAAAACAGATCGCACTCTGTATCTTAGCCACGATGCAGCTCTCTGCTCATTCAAATAGAAGGGGCAATAAACTTTTGCATCTGTAACGGAAGGTCTTAGCACTGAAGAAGGGACCCCTCTAGATTTCTCTTGAATAGCCATGCTTTCATTCTTCTGTCCTTCAGTCAAAAGATTCGAAAATCCGAAGAGTGTAAGCAGGGCTAGCATAAGACCAAATGTTTTTATTGCTTCCATCTGTTTTATGACACCAGGTACTGCTAAAATTCGTCACGTGTTACAAACATAAATGAATTTATAATGCAGAACAACTCTGTGAAGAACTGGGAAACCATTTTTCAGTACGCATAAAAATTAAAACAAAAAATTGAAAATAGAGTATAACACTTTGTGTTAAAAATTTCAAATCTTCCGTTATAATATGCGACACTGTGTTCTTTGCTGATAGAAACAAAGTTAATACCATCCATTTATCATAAAAATTGAGCAAGATATAGCATTTTTAAACAAAACGCTTAAAATTGATTAAGTTCCTAATAGGAACGGAAATTTAAAGGCAGAGTAGCGACAGGCATTTAAACGCGCACCAGCAGAGGTCATTTAAATAAACTCCGGCCAGCACAAGCTTACCACTATTTCGAAGCCCGGCGTTTAAAGGTTAATGAACGCACAGCCCCTGAGTCTAAGAGAGCGTGCACTGGCCCGAACCCAATTCCAATTGAAGACAGGGTAAATGATACTCAGAAACACCCTGTATACTCTGACTCTGCAAGGTAGAAACCGTGTGAGTATCACCCATGGGAATGGCAAAAGGCACGTGGGGACTACATGACTGTGCGTTAACTTCTAATCAATTACGTCGACCTTGGAATAAAGGCGGCTGCCTAGGTAATGCCGATAACTTAACACTGCACTCTCGCTGTATGTTCCCAACTTTGTTACAGCGATAAAAATCTTTTGGGAAGGTTGCGAAGTGGGGTTAGCAGACACAGAAGGCTCGGCAAGAGTCATAGGAGTGAGTGGATTGCGCGATCGGGAGCTCTGACTATCTTCGCTTGTCAAAATATTGAGTGCGTATATGCACATGTTTTCTAGATCGACATAGATGGCAGGTGTATCACAAAAAACTAGGCGACTTATTTCCCGAGGGTGGATCCCATGGAGGATATTTCTGACTACCACTGCCTCGTCCGCATCCTGACGCAGGACAGCAGCAGTTTCCTTAAAGTCAGTAATATAAACAGATATGGACTCGTTGGTCCTTCTCAAATAATCGGAACTTATCAGTGGAATAAAAAACTCAAGTATACTCTCATGATAAGCTTGGAGATTATCCCCACGCCGTATTGCGTCAAACGTTTTTGAGGCCAATGCTCCCTTTGTGCAACTATAAAAGACTTGCAAGACGTGAACAGGGGCCACTTGGAAAACCGTAAGAATGTGCCTAATCCGCACTATAACTCGCAAAATGTTGATCAACTGAGACAACTCCAATCCTTCCGTGACGGGAAGATCCTGAATCATTTGCTGTACAGGATTCTGCAATTTTGCGAAGACGAAGGGAAAGGAAAAAAAAAATACTACCAGGATAAGTGGAGACCCATGTGGTGGGTAGATTACGCAAGATTGAGCGACCGTTTCGTTGACGACAAAAAGAGGAGAAGGGGTCAAATGCTCCATGTGTGGACTGGCAGAAGATACAACAGCTGATTCGGCCCTATCTTCAGCGTTGTGCAAATTGATCGTACTTGCAGCGAGCGGCGGTATTGATGACGTATGCTCCTCGCTCTGTATATTGCTGTTGATTTCTGCCGAAAGTGACTGCACTTGCTCACGCAATGTCAGGGCGGACGACTCCAACTCGTGTGGTATTTTTCTAAACTGGAACAGATGGCGAAGCCGAGTATCAAGATGGGTAAGTCTATGTTAATAACAAGGGAAACCAACGAAAATAAGGGAACTGTCCGTGTTTTCCACCAACTTTGTGATTTTCAAATTTTGTCCTCACAAAGGAAAGAATAGTTGGCGTATCCTTCAAGGCTTTCGTAGTGATGAACTTCTCGGCGTTCACTTCAACATCGCTCGAGGTCCTGAACAATGCTCTCAGTGCAGCAACATTCAACCCTTCGATAGGAACCCCTCGAACGGCGAGCTCATAGTCTAGTTCGTCCATATGCAAATTACTCAGGCAGTACTGGCTCTGTAGTCATAATGAAAACAACAGCAAGAAATCAGAAAACTAGAACACCGGCCTATAGATCCCAAAAACCAAACCACGCTCTGCTACAACTTTGAAAAGTGAAAAGGTCTTAAAGACCGAAATTTGGTTTGTGAGTAGGACGTACCAACTCAAAGACACTATAACAAATATATCAAATGACAATATATATATTATATACTAAATGCGAATACAATGTAAGGCCCTGGAGGTAATAGGCCTCCGGCAATCAACCAATCAAAATCGTACAGATCAGGAAAAGAGTGAATCGACTGAACTGTTCAAGCTCCCACAACAGAATGGATCACTCTTGTTCTCTCATTGAACCTGAGGCGTCCGGAACCAAGAATTGAAGCAGTGGAAGGGGTGAGGTAGTAAAGGGGGGGTGAGCACTCTGACATACCGCAGGCACGGCGTTACATCCTGGACCGACGTGTGGTCAGTAACTTGGCCAGCGTTTACTTACAGTGTGCGTAATATAGGCATATTTTAACTCCGTGACTTTAGTCCGCAAGCGAACTATACCGACCGAGCGACAGCCGATTGTCAGCGAAGTTTAGTGCCAACTTTTGAATATAGCCCTGTTACAGAAAAAATGAATCTCATTGTTATATCAGGTATCTGGAACTGCCTAACTGAATTTCGCTTAGTCCGTCCGGTGTTAAATCTAACCAATTGCTCTTTATAAATTAGTCTTCAAACTTAATCAGCTAGAAATTCCTTTCGAATTATTTCGGATGACCCTATGTCCTGGGCACTATGAAGTTAGCATCCCGCGCGTGAGCATTCCCTCTCTGTTCCAGCACACGGACCTGACTTCGCCATCAGGACCTCCCGAACTATTGCGCGTGCCGCTTGCTACGTCACACATTCCTAAGTCTTTATTTTAAATTAACGAACACGAATGAGCGACATGGCTTCCATTGAAGTCGTTCTGTATGCCACTCTTTCCCTGATCGTATAGCCTGCGAATTGCGAGTCAGCGAGATTCTCATTAAGACTGCCGTCTTCTGGGATTGTGAGGCCGTGCTGTTTGGCACATAGGTGTCAGTGTTTCAGAGGAACCTCTTGCCTCCTTCTTCAGGATAGAATAGTGACTGTGATCTCGTTTAGCTTAGTTTCGGATGAATTTCCAGTCTTCCATATTTGTTGTAGAAGAGCGGGGTGTCTCATGTTATGACGGTTAATAAAGAGGTTTTATGTTATAACACAACAGGATGCATGAAGTGAAAATTATCTGGAAACGTTTCAGGACCTCCTTCTTCAGGGCAGAACATGGGATGTTAGCCGTGTAGTCTGTTAGGTGTTTGGATGGAGAAATCTGATGCCTCCATTAACGTTTGAGAGGAAATTGCTGTCTCCAACTTTAGGGTTATAGTAAAAAAAAAAAAATTGACGCCGTGTACTTTACCAAATTACTCGACGGGAATCCCAGAAGACAATGACCTTTGTAAGAAAAAAGGTGAAGTTGTCTGTGTCGCCATATCGACTGCGCTTCTCGGGCTTCCTCGGTATTTTTTTAGGTCTCAGTACCCGTTTAAAAGTTCCCTCCCATCTCAATAGGTAGTTCCATACTGAAACATTTTAGGGACAGAAAGCGTAATGATTTCTGCCTAGAGGTCGTTGTTGGTGCTATTGACATTACATCAAAAAAATCCCACGGCCAAATCTTGACACCCCATACTGAAGTAAATAAACAATCTGTTCCGAATTTGTACTTTTCCTGAGAATAGAGACTGATTATTTTATTTCGTGGGGAAAGAATAATTTTAAATACAAGAAAGTGCTAGGAAATGCCCATCTGGCCTAGGCGACAGATGACAAACAGGTTTTTTGGCAGATCCATGTGCTGTGTATATGTACACCACCCATTCTGGGCAGTCGACTGCGATTACTGTGGCTGTATTACAGAGACCACTGGAGACCACGAGTGACCACAAGCCTCACGATTAGAACGAACTCATGCGTCGTCGGTGCAAGATATTGCGATTTAAGTGGAAGTGTATGAGTAGTGTCTGTTCCTTGGGGAATCATTAGGATCATTCGATTTGCTCATATTTTGAGAGATATTATTCTGCTGTTTCAAGTTCTAGTTTGGATTCTGCCAGACTTCGCAGCGCCCATTCTGATGGTGATTTTTCCGGTAGAGTGCACATTTATACTGTTTTATGACCTTTCTCGCCTGTTAGACATAACTAATCCGACTTACAAAGGAAGTCGTGAGAGCTGATGGCCGATGGTGAACTGGTTGAAGTTGCAGGGCGTACAAATACATTTTGCGGCTATGCGATGTAAATTTGTAGAGTAGGTTTGCTGTTTCTAGGACGTAGATCCGTGCAGTCTGGTAGGATTTTACCAACGTTTTGGAAGCAATATTAAGTCTACACAACTTGTAATAAGGCACTAAGCTTCATAATCTCTGCCGGCCTCTGCTGTGAGAACAAAGAAATGCACGTCACTCTATAACTTCTATATTACTATAGTTTTATATATGTACAACTTCTATATCACAAGGATTCTTGTAAATCAATTCATTTGCCACCCACAAAAGCATCTTGTGATAAGATAAAGGTTCAACGTTATGAAAGATTTTGCACTTTTTGCAGCAGGAATGCCGAGAATTCTACAGAGAGCTGAAGAAACATTTCCTGCTGAGACAGAAAGGATGGTGAGTGTTTTGTGTTTGTGTGCACAGACAAGAATTTTCTTGTCATGAGTCAATTCTCATATCTTAAGAAACTAAACTATTTATGTCAAACTTTTGTTAGTATTCATAATCCATCTGGGGAGTTTAATTGGTTCTTCACATTATAACAGTTTGGTATATTATGTAGGAGAGGGATTAATTCAAAGCGAGTGATATGGGTAGGTCAAATAGCACACATGTGAGAATGAGAAATGCTTACAAAGGTTTTGACAGAAGGCCTGAGAGAATGAGACAATTGTGAAGATGGATTTTAAAGGTACAGTTATGGGGTTTTGGACTGGGTTTGTTTGTGTCAGGATGCAAAGTCATGATGGGCACATGTGAACACAGTGATGAGTGCTTAGGTTCCATAAAGAGCAGATACGTATTTTCTGTACTTCCGCAGGGACCACATGTTTCTCAGGAAGGTGCCTGCATTATGAACTTAACACTTCCTAAGATTATGAAGTCTAGAGAAGAAATCTGTACAGAGCAGCTGTTATGGGTTAGATGTAATGAAAAACAGCTACAGCAAGGAGAGCATGTATTGTTTCATGTATGGTGTTGTACAGCCATGACTGATAGAAGATGTGATGCCTTTACAGAACTGTACAAATTCAGAGAAGGTTGTAGTGGGTCCGTCTGGTGAGACACACCCAGCAAGTCATGATGCAATCCAGGCCATGACTATAAAAGCTGAGGAAGTCTCAGAGTCACAAGAGGAAGCTGATCCTGTGCGAATAACATTTCAGGAAGTAAAGGCTGAACCTGAGGTGAGCTGTATGCTTCTGTATGTCCACTGTTAGGCAGATATCACAGATAGGCAGGAATTCCAGTTGTCTCTCTCATCTCCATCTGTCTGGCTGTTTGTCTGTGCACATTGGACAGCTCCACTGTGCTGCTCGCCTTTGGAGGCCTTGTTCTGAAGTGTCTCTAGACAGTTATAGTTTGTTGAATGTATGCTGCTTGTGATGTACCACTTCCATTTCCTTTTAAGCTGTTCTGATGCAGATGAAATTAAAGTTTGTGTAAACCGAACTGTATTTGAGAGAAATTCTATAGCAGCAAAAATCCATAGGGAATCATAGAACTGTTTGCAGTTAATTAACACATGTTAGAACCAAGAATTTAAGTTACTAGAACTCTTGTGAGCTAATTCCAATGAATCCCACAAGATATTTTTCATGTGATGAAGGTTACAAAAGATTCTGCACTGTCTTGCAGCAAGAGTGACAAGATTTGTACTGTATGGAGCTGAAGAAACATTTCTTGCTGTGAGAGAAAGTACTGTGTTTCATGCTTGTGTGCACAGACAAGAGTTTTATTTTCATATAGCAGTTCTCTTCCTCAAAGAAACTAAATATTTAGTGACCCGCTTCTGTTTGTTTGCATAATCCATGTGGGAAGTTCCTTACACTTGGGTGATGACGTTTTGGGATGTTATGTAGGAGAGCAATGAGTTCAAGGAGAGAGATGTGGGTAAGTCATGTAGTGCACATGCAACAGTGAGAAATGCATACGAAGAGAAGAAAACCACTTGGGAGACCTGAGTGCAAATGGAAAGTTGCTATTAAGGTAGATTTTAAAGAAATAATTTGGAAGGGTTTGTACTGAGTCTGTTTGCCACAGAATATGGAACCATATTGAACACAGTAGTGAGCCTTTTCTGGCTTTTTCAACAAATCCTATATTATGCATTGCTCTTCTCCCCCATGCCTGCTATATGAGCTTCCCATCACATCCTCCATGACTTTAGCTTTTAGGTACATTAAATAACTTCATGGAGCTGAGTGAGTCCTTGAGAAGCCACCAGTTGCTTGGCCACTGAAGAATTTCCCAACATTGTATAGAACCTGGAAGTTTATTGACATGTTTGCAAAAACCTGTCACAAGTCCCTGTCTTGAGCCATATGAATCCAGTCCACACCACCCCATCCTATGTCTCTTAAAGATCCACTTAAATATTATCTTCCCACCTATGCCTAGGCCTTCGTAGTGGTCTCTTTCCTTCTGGCTTTCTCAGCAAATCCTATATGCATTCCTCTTCTCCATGCCTGCTATATGAGCTGCCCATCTCATCCTTCTTGACTTGATCATATAATTATGCTTGGTGAAGAAAGGTTACAAGTTGTGGAGCTCTTCATTATGATGGTTTTAGGTACCAAAGAAAGCAGATATTTTCTGTACTGCTGCAGTGACCGATAGCTTCTCAGGAAGGTCACTTACCTATGAACCGAGTACTTTCTAGTGATCGTGATAGCAGTAGAGAAGAACATCTGTACAGAACAGCTCTTGTGAGTTTAATGTGATGAGAAACAGCCATAGCAAGGAGAGCATACGCTGTTTAATGTGTGGTGTTGTGCATCCATTTCTGAGAAGAATGTGATGGTTTTTACAGAACTGTACAAATTTGGAGAATGCTTTAGTGGTTCCACATGGTGAGACATACCCAACACCTCATGATGCAAATCAGGCCATGAATGTAAAAGCTGAGGCAGTCTCAGATGCAGAAGAGGAAGATGATCCTGTCCAAATGACATTTCCAGAAATAAAGGCTGAACCTGAGGTGAGCTGTATGTGCACTGTTAGGCAGATAACACAAATGTGCAGAAATGCCACTTGTCTTTCTGTAACCATCTCTGTGAACATGAAACAACTCCACTGTGCTGTTGACTAGATTTCGAAGTGTTCCCCCCACCCCCTGAAATGTTTCTAGGCAACTGTAGTACATTGAATGTTGCGTGTGATGTACCATTCCACTAAACAGTGCTTTGTTACCACATCATAGAGTTCCCAGAATCCATAAATGCTGAAGTTTATCATTTATCTGTTTTCTGTCTTGATGCAGTCTGTATTGATGTCATTACATAGAGCTGTCATTGTGTTGAGGATTTGTTATAGGATAACTAATGATTCTCTATAGCTTTGTGATAATGTTTGACAGATTATAGACACGTGTTGTCTGTTGCCCTTTGTATGAAGTGAATTTAATATACCTGACACTGTTGGAGTGGCCTCTGTACCTGTTGTCAGGTGATTGGTTGTCGTAACAGATTTTTTTGTTGTTTTCGGTTAGACAGAAGGATAACTAATCGTTAGATATAGAGAATGTGTAAGGGTATAAAAACCAATAGTGAAGAACTGGCATTAGCAACACATCCTAAAATATAGATGCAGTGGTGATGAACTGGAGTATACAGTGCATGTAATTAAACACACAAATAAAGCTAGTAATGAATATCAAGAAAATTTCTACATCTACATGTAGATGGAGGTTCTTACTTTTCTTGGCCAGTTCACGACGACTGATGCACCACTGGCTGTGTGCAAAGTGCATACAAATTTTGCCAGTGAATCAGTATGCCTGTGGCCAGTAACGTTTGGAGTAAAGTTAAAATTCGTAGGTCACAGAAGGTGTTGAAAATGCTGTCCTCATACATGTAGACATTCCTTGCAGCAGCAGAAAGGGTTCTGATTAACCCTTAAAGCTGTTGTGCCAGAATTTTGCTATTTCCCTATAATTTTTTTTTTAGTTCTTCCTCATGGGGTACTGTTTTAAACTTTGTCCTGCAAAGAACCACAGAAGAAAATATCTAAGAATCAAGGTTGGGTGAATGTGCCTGCCAAATACCAGTGCTGATATCTCTCCCCAAAAGTACTTGGAAAAGGTTGCATAGATGTACATGAAATGTGGGCAGTACCTTAGTCTTGCTGAAACCAGCCATAGAGTCTTTTTTTCTTTTGTAACTCTCAAAAGAATTGTCTGAAAATGACCTGTACATAATTTTTTTTTATTTAGTTGGTGAGGGTGGGACTCAGTCCACTTGGTATGGCGGCCACTTCTGGCCAATTGTACCAGCCCCAGATGATAGGTGAGAGTGGTTATGGAGCAATTGGTGGAATTAAGATTGACAGGGGAAACTGAAGTACTCAGAGAAAACCCGCCTCAGCACCACTTTGTCCACCACAAATCCCACTTCATCAGACCCGGGATCGAACCCGTGCTGCCGCGGTGGGAAGCCAGTGACTAACTGCTTGAGCTATGGCGCGGCCTTTCTTTGTTTCTCCCAATTTGTTTTTATGAACATTCATATCTAATTTCATTCCTTCTGCATTATTTGTTGTCGTTCTGCTGTTTGTTTTTGCTGCATTTCACTATGGCAGTAATTTTCCAGCTTGCTCTTCATAATCCCTGCCATGAACTCCTGTAAATTAGTAGTACCTCAAATTAGGCCCAGTTACTTCCTTTGCAATTTGTTGTTAACTGGAAATGCGATTGGGATGCAAAGTATAGCAGAACTAGGCAAGGGCATGAAGCTGGCTGGGTCACAAGGAACACACATCAGAGCCAGTCTTCTGTTGTGATCTCAGCAGGACCAGACGAGTTTGATTGTGAGAGGATTCATATGATTGGTCCCATTTGTTGACAACTGTCCCACAGCGGACTAAGGGAGCAGCAGTTCATGTCCCATGTAGGTTGCTGGGATGTGATAGTTGATGTGTAGTTTTATTTAATTTTCCCCAAATTAAGAGATGTATTTCTAATAATACTTGTGAAATCTAGTTACTTGGATTTTAATATTTATGATCAGTTGGGAGGATGAAGTAAAAGACTCCTGAAGAGTTCACATCAAACCCCATAATGTTTAAAAAGAATAATATATGCTCCCCTGCAGAATTTGTTTTTAACTATTTGCATTAATTGTGTGTGTGTAGGAGAAATTTGGAATATGTGACTACAAACTCAGTGTTTGGTATAAGGTTTAAAAATTAATTAGGAACCTCAGTTTATTTCCCAGTGCTGCAAAACAGTGCAAGCATTCACCAATTAAATGTTATGTTTTGGGATTTCCTGAAATGTATGTTGACTTTCAAAACCACATGCTATTACCTCTCTGTCCAAAAAAGTATCTGACCTTGGGGCAGGAAAACAAAGTTCTGTATCTGGGTGGCTACAATACCTAATCCCCTTCAAAGTAGGCCCCTTGTGACTCCACACACTTAGCCCAGCGGTCCGTCCATCGCTGGAAGCAATTCTGGAAGGCTTGTTTTGGAATGGTGTGCAGCTGTGCTGTCGCATTGTGTATGATATCCTTGTGGCTGTCAAAATGGGAGACTTTTAGGGTGTCTTTCATCTCGGGAACTGCCAGAAATCACAGGGAGCCATGTCAGGAGAGTAGGGAGCCTGGCGAACCTGCAGAGTGCCGTGCTTGGCCAGGAAACCCTGGATCAGGTGTGATGAATGAGCTGGGGCATTGTCATGATGCAGCTGCCAGTTGCATGCATCCCACAGCTCTGGTCTCTTGTGCTGAACTGCATCACAAAGATGACGGAGGACTTCTTGGTAGTACTCCTTATTGACAGTTTGTCCTAGTGTTGCTTACTCCTGATGCACAACGCCCTGGTAATCGAAAAAAGACTGTATCACCTTCACATTCCTCTGAACATGTGCTTTTTTATTCCTTTGGTTTGTTTGGATGCTTCCATTGTGATGACTGGACCTTGGTTTCCAGGTCATATCCATACACTCACGCCATTTCACCAGCGATCACAGTCTTCAGGAACTAGGATCCCTGTTGGTGCACTCCAGCATGTCCTGTGCTACCTCAAGGCAGAGTTGATGCTGCTCCAGCAGAAGCAGCTTGGGCACAAATTTTGCCACCACTATTCGCATGCCCAAATCCTCAGTTAAAATTGTGTTTGTGGAACCTCTGCTGATCCCAACCTCATCAGCAACATCCCGGACAGTCAAACGACGGTCTTCCATGATCAGTGCTCCCACTTTACCAATGACATCAGCATTTCAGCTTGTTGATGGTCTCCCAGAACACTGGTCACTGTCCACCAACATGTGGCCATTTTTAAAGCGGTTGAGGCACTCTTTAATTTGAGTGACTGCCATTGCATCATCGCCGAAAGCCTGATGAACTTTGTGGCTTGTTTCCGCTTGGGTATCCCCAAGTTTCTGACAAAACTTGATGCGGCATCACTGCTCCAAGCATTCTGTCATCTTGAGCGAAATGAGAATGTGACAAACACGTGTTACACCTCTTCGCTATCTGGCAGCAGCAGACGCTTCCGGTATTGTTGCGAAGCAGCAAATAATCGTGCATGCACATGAAAGTCCCTTCTACCACTACACTCAGTTTCTCCACCCTTTTGCAATTACTTACCGTGGGAAAAAATATTGTAACGTGTTTCGTTACTGAAGACGCCGTAGAGATCGTTAATTGGTTTATTGAACAATCTACAAATATCGGCTACAATTAATGATCACAATGTTACGGGTTTCCACAGTTTACAAACCCTACAACAAAATCTCGTAACACAACCTTCACTTGTCTTCACGTACTAATAACGCGGGAGCTATACAAGTCTCCCCGAATTACACACTCCAGATATAACTGGTTATCCCGAACTATCACTGATTCTTGCACACGCGTCTATAGCTCGTAACTTGCGAACTGAGAACTCGCTGATAACACAGTGACTCACACTTGCTGCTCAGCCGGCTTTTATTCCGTTCGCTGTTGCTAGTGTGACGTGGCGTATAGCCTAGGACGCTGTTACCCCTTGGTGACGTCACCACTGTTGACTAGCTTTGCATAGCTTCAAGGTTGTGGGGACTCGGCTAGCTTCGGCTCCGCTCGTGACGTCACCGCGGTGAGAGTTGCGGGGTGATGACTTGCCTATTACGCAAGCGATACGTTACCGCTACGTGCAGCTGGGGAGGTAGGGGTGAACATGTCATACTGCTCCCTCCTTAAGGCTGTTCGTCCCGAATAGCCTAACGGTGCATCCCCGTTCCTTTGCTTCGGTGGCTGTTCTTGCAGCATCTTCTTTGTGTCCTCCTACTGTTTCTCTTCTCCCCGTTGCTCTGCTCTCCAACTGCTACATCTTCCCCCTTTTTATGGTTGCTCGTCTCGAGCAGCTCCATGATAAGGCGCAAGCCGGTCGAGGTGTACAACCAACATCCTTGACCTAGGGGTCTTCTTGATTCAGTAAACCACATCATTTATCCGGGTCACTACTTTGTAAGGACCTTCTCATGATGCCTGTAGCTTCGGCGATTTCCCCTTTCTGCGGGTTGGGCAATAGAGCCAGACTCGGTCGCCTTCGTCGTAACCTGCCGAGTTGGCCATTTTATCGTACCGAGTTTTCATCCTGTCACTGGCAAGCTTCAGGTGTTGCCGGGCATAATTGTGGATGTCGTGCAGATGATCCACTAAGTCTGCTGCATAGTTGGTTGTGGGTTGTTCCTTGTCTGGGGGTACTCCAAACAGCAGATCGCAAGGTAGTCGTAGTTCTCGTCCGAACACTAGGCCAGCAGGGGTCAGGCCCGTAGTATCGTGAGTGGATGCCCTGTAAGCTAGGAGAAAGAGGGGTAAACTCTCATCCCAGTCACTTTGGTGCGATGAGACGACCATCCGCAAGTAATCTTCGATGATCTTGATGTAGCCTTCCACCATTCCATCCGACTGTGGGTGCAGGGGTGTGGTGCGCGTCTTGCTCACTCCCAGGCGTTGCAAAACTTCTTTCAGTAGATGAGACTCGAAGTTACGGCCTTGGTCACTGTGCAACTCTCGAGGTATGCCGAAGCGGCAGAAGAAGTTGGCAACCAGAACTTCCGCTATTGTTGAAGCCTCCTGATTCGGGATGGCGTACACTTCCGGCCACTTGGTGAAGTAGTCCATAGCGATCAGTAAGTATCGGTTTCCTTGGTCGCTTCGTGGGAAGGGCCCTGCGATATCAATGGCTACTCTCTCGAAGGGAGCCCCGACATTATACTGGTGCATTTGCCCACGATTCCTGGTCCGCGGTCCCCGACTGGCTGCACATGTGTCACACTGTCGACACCATTTCTCAACATCGGTCCTTGCTTGGAGCCAGTAGAATCTCTGTCGAACCTTATTCAGAGTTTTGTTGACACCGAAGTGACCTCCTGACGGTCCACCGTGCAGTTCGCTCAGAACGTCCTTCACCCTGCTCCGAGGAATAATTACCTGGGCTACTTGACGTCTTCCGGTGACGGATTCCCAGTCACGCTCTAGTACGCCGTTTCTCACAGCGAGCGATTTCCACTGGGCCCAGTAGCTTTTGTACGTGGGACTCCGATCCGCGATGTCCTGCCATTCCGGTCGTTGGCCGTTTTCTACTTCCTGTAGAATAGGCCCTATATCTGGGTCTTTTAGCTGTTCCTCTCTTAGGGTAACAGGGTCCCAGCCGGCTGCCGGTAGGGTTCCAATAACGCGTATTTGCTTTACCTCTGCCCGCGTCTCAACTTTGTGGCAGTGCGCACATTGCTCTTGGCAGGGTCGTCTAGAAAGGGCGTCGGCGTTGTTATGTTTTCGGCCCTGACGATGCTCCGAAGTGAAGTTGTACTCCTGTAGACGCTGTATCCAGCGCGCTGTTTGTCCCTCTAAGTTCTTGAAACTCATAAGCCAGGTAAGCGCAGAGTGGTCCGTTCGCAGATGGAACTGTTGTCCGTAGAGGTATTTGTGGAAATGTTCCAGTGTCCTCACTATGGCAAGTAGTTCTCGACGGGTGACACAGTAGTTTCTCTCTGCTTTGTTTAGCGTCTTGCTGAAGTAAGCTATGACACGCTCTTTTCCGTCCTGGATTTGAGAGAGAACTCCTCCAATTCCGACATTACTTGCATCTGTGTCCACAATGAATTTCTCTCCTGGCTGTGGGTAGGCAAGAATAGGGGCAGCACATAGGGCACCCTTTAGCGTTTGAAAAGCGGCCTCCACTTCTGGAGTCCACTGGAAGGTTCGTTTCTCTTCCGTTAGTTTCGTTAGTGGCTTCGCAATGTTGGAAAACCCTGAAATAAATCGCCTGTAATACGCGCATAGTCCCAGAAAGCTTCTAACTTCATGTTTATCCTTCGGGGTCGGCCATTCTCGCACGGCTTTCAACTTCTCCGGGTCGGTGGATACCCCTTCTGGTGATACAATATGCCCGAGGTATCGGACCTCTTCCTGCAGGAGTTTACACTTTTCCGGGTTAAGTTTCAGACGGGCTTCCCGGAACCTCTCGAACACTTTCCGTAAGTTGAGCATGTGCTCTTGGAATGTGCGGCCTATTACGATCACGTCATCCAAATACACAAGGCATGAATCGTACGTGAGCCCTCGTAGGACTGTCTCCATTAGCCTTTCGAAGGTTGCCGGGGCATTGCAGAGGCCAAAGGGCATGACTGTGAACTGCCATAGCCCTTGTCCTGTCGAAAACGCTGTTTTCTCTTTGTCGTCTGGGTGTACATCCACTTGCCAATAGCCACTCTTTAAATCAAGAGTTGAAAACCATTTGGCTCCGGCCAGCGTGTCCAGGGTGTCGTCAATGCGGGGTAGCGGAAAGCAATCCTTCTTGGTGACGTCGTTCAGCTTTCTGTAGTCCACACAGAAACGGAGCTCCCCATTCTTTTTCCTGACCAAAACGACCGGGGACGACCAAGGGCTGTCCGATTCTTCTATAACACCCTGTCCTCGCATGTTTTCGAGCATTTCCTTTACTTCTGCTTGTTTCGCCAGGGGTACTCTCCTTGGTGGCTGTCGAATTGGTCGGGCTTCTCCCGTGTCTATGCGGTGATATACTCTGTTTGTCCTTCCATAATCTTCGTTGTCTTGTGCGAAGATATTGGCGTACTCGGACACGAGATTCTCCAACTCTTGAAATTCTCTGGTGTTTAGGTGTGGCTTGGCCGCTGTGGTCACGTCCGATAATTTCGGTGTTAGACCTGGTGCTGGTGGCTGCCCCATCTCGGGCAAAGCCACGAGTGTTACTGGCTCACAGTGCGCCAGAGGGGATCCTCTCCTGAGTCTTTGGTCCTTGTGGGTAACATTCATGACCCTCACTGGTACTTCTTGAGAGTCCTGAACCAGGGTCCTGGCTACGTAGGCGGGTGGGCCTGGGGGCTTTGTTCTACTAGGCCATTCTCTGCTCCCAGATGATTCTTCATTTTAGCCATCACTATTCCCTCGCTCCGTGCGGGTATCACATGGTCCTTTGCCACTACTAAGTTAGAAGGACGGGGTCCTGCCCCAGGACTCCATAACGATACTTATTCTTCTTCCGCCAGACGTAGAATTTGGCGCCCTATATCCACTGGCGCATCATAGGCGCGCAGTATGTCCAGTCCCAGGATGAGCTCATCTGTGATATTCGCGACGAAAACCCACATTGTAATAGGTTGGCGCCCTAGGGTAAGGGTCAACAGAACTTCTTTCAGTATGGGCAGGGATCCTCCAGACACAGTCTGCAGCGAGAAATCTGGATTTGGCTGTCTTTCAGGCCATCTGGCGGCAATATCCGGTCTTACTACCGTGACGTATGCTCCCGTGTCCACTGTCACCTGGCACGGCTTATCACCGACCCACCTCTGGGTGACCAGACTGGTGTTGGCTTTCTCTGTCATGTCGGTGAGTGCATAATGTGGGGGCCTTAAGGCATATGCCGGCGTTCGCCCATCTCCGCCGGCCGTCGCTCGTTTCCCGACAGTTGTTCCTTTCTCCAGCTTGTTTCCCTGTTGTTTCTGGGTCGCCATTCTGATTTCCCCGGCGATTCCCGTTTATTTCTTGGAGGTCCTTCTTTTCGGTCCTGGTGCTGTCTATTGTCATCTCCTCGTTGGGTGGGGGACGGTCGGAACCTGGTGCTATCTCTGTGAGGTCTGGCTGCTACCAGTACTGCCTGCAGCTCTAACGCTTGTCGGAGGGCCTCATTTACTGTCTTCTCCCCTCCCAGCAGTAGCTGGATCTTAATATCGGCATCTCGTATGCCATATATGAATGCTTTTCCTGCCTCTCTTCCAATGTGGTTTGCAGGTAGATTGGGGTAGGCACGAAGGGCAAGCAGTTCAATGGCGGTGGCAAAATCTTGCAAGGATTCTGCAGGTTTCTGCATCCTTGTTCTTAACTGGCAGTGGTAAGCAGCTGCAAAGTGTTGGTCCCCAAAACGGTCCTCTAGTGCCTGAAGTGTTTCCTCATAAGTTGTATTTGTCGGGATGCCGGGTAGCACTTCTGCCGCCCGACCCTTCAGGGCAGTAATTAGGTATGTCGATTTTTCCCGGTCCGACCATTGGTTGTGTTCTGCCACGGTCTCGAATTGTCGCCGGAACACACTCCACGTTGAATTCCCGGTGAATGTCGGTGCCTGAGCTGTGCTGGCGAAGACCGTGGGTGTGATTCCCCGCTCGGACCTTGTCTGTACTACTTCCAACCGGGCCTGGAAATCTCGTTTGGTTTCTTCAATTGCTGCACATGTTTTCGTTAGCTCTTCCTGGATTTTATCTGTCCGCGCACAGAGGGACACTTCAATCTGCTCAGTTATTTCTGACTGGAGAGTCTGTTTGTCGTGTTCAACGATCACCAAAATGTTTTCAACTCTATGTTGGATTTTATCATCCAAATCTGACCGCAAAGATCGCATTTCGGCCTTGATTTCTTCCTTGTCGGCCTTCCTGTCGGCCGCCGCCTTCTCTTGATTGGCGTCTAATTTGGATATCAAATCTTCTTTGTCTGTCTTCCTATTTTCTTGCATGGCCTTCATCTCTTTCAGCACATCGTCCTTATCAGTTTTCCTATCAGCGTATAATTTTGCCAGCATGATATTTGCTTTTTCTTGACTGAATTCTAGCTTCGCCAGGAAATCTACTGTCTTTTTTTCAGTTGGCTTCCATTCTGTCTTCCATCCGCAATCGGTCGGCATCTGCTTTTACTCGGTTTGCCCTCATCTCTTCTTGATGGGTTTTCATGCTGGCGCCAGCATTTCCTCTTTGTCAGTTTTCCTATCGGCGTCTAATTTGTTTTCAATCCGCACTCGGTCGGCATCTGCCTTCGCCAGCATTTCGATTATTCGCTGCATCTCCATTTTGTAGCAGTAAAGTACTTGATGCACAACAATCTGTTTGTGGCGTGTTTAAGTTCGTAACACTTCTGACACCAATGTAACGTGTCTTGAGTTCGAATCCCGTTGATCACGTGCGTAAGTCCAAATCCCACTTCTGACACCAGTGTAACGTGTTTCGTTACTGAAGACGCCGTAGAGATCGTTAATTGGTTTATTGAACAATCTACAAATATCGGCTACAATTGATGATCACAATGTTACGGGTTTCCACAGTTTACAAACCCTACAACAAAAGCTCTTAACACAATCTTCACTTGTCTTCACGTACTAATAACGCGGGAGCTATACAAGTCTCCCTGAATTACAGACTCCAGATATAACTGGTTATCCCGAACTATCACTGATTCTCGCACATGCGTCTATAGTTCGTAACTTGCGAACTGAGAACTCGTTGATAACACAGTGACTCACACTTGCTGCTCAGCAGGCTTTTATTCCGTTCGCTGTTGCTAGTGTGATGTGGTGTATAGCCTAGGACGCTGTTACCCCTTGGTGACGTCACCACTGTTGACTAGCTTTGCATAGCTTCAAGGTTGCGGGGACTCGGCTAGCTTTGGGTCTGCTCGGCTCACTTCGGCTCCGCTCGTGACGTCACCGCGGGGAGAGTTGCGGGGTGATGACTTGCCTATTACGCAAGCGCTACGTTACCGCTACATGCAGCTGGGGAGGTAGGGGTGAACATGTCACAATATAGTCAGATACTTTTTGGGCAGACCTCATATGATTATCCATCTAAAAATAGATGTATGTATTAAAAGTTATAACCTTTAAGAGAAGGGCAATTTAAATTTCGGTAATGGCAGCAGGCCGGAGTTAATTTAAATGCCCGCCATTGTAGAGTATTAAAAATTGTAAGCATGTTACTGAAAATGCTGTGATTTCTACAATTTTTGTAATGAACGAAATAAACGCTGCTTTTATCTAGAAAGAATATAGAATTAGATATTGTAATTTACCTATTTTCCGATCTCTGAAAATGGTTACACTGATTCCAAAAAAAATTTGTTCCCCAATTTCAAGCATCTGTCCACAAATTTGCATACAGTTTCTACACAAAACGTGTCTGCAGTACAAATGCATGCTGTTGAGATATTGTCTTACTGTGTCTTATCTGGCAAAAGGAGTGGACGTTTATGTTTGTATTGCACATTCTCCAGTCAGAACCTTTCTGTATGCACAAGTGTGGGTGAAGTCTTATCGTATTTTGTCCTTCAGAAACCCTTGACTGTGTATATCTCAGACTAGCCACACAGAGGTACTGTTCTAGGAATAGCCCCACACTGCCAGAATGTTCACACCTAGCGCATTGTGTTGTGTTGTATAGAAAACATCACAATTTCAACTCTCCACCATGGCTTCATTTCACATGAAAGAAGCCGTAATTGAGAAGCAGCTGATTAATGACACCGATTCAGACTGCGGTACAGACGACTCCGAGAGTGGCGAGGAAGCAACGGGCTCAGAAACTGAAGTCGACGTAGACCCATCATCTTCGTCGGCAACCTGGGGACCACCAGCCCAGCATGGCAGGAGGGTTGTGAATAATTATTCCGGTGGAGCTGTGGGGTTAAATATCAATGAAGCTCCACACGTAAATAAGGATTCCACCCCTTTCTGCGTTTTCATGCTCTACTTCTCAGGGATTATCCGTCTGCTGGTGGATGAGACGAACAGGTGCTACCACCAGTACCTAGACAGACTTCAAGACGGACCTTCTCCGCAGCCTGAAGTGACTGATTCTGAGATGTTTCTGTTTCTAGGAATAATCATTCAAATGGGACATGACATTAGAGACAGACTAAAGGACTACTGGTCGACTGCAGAACAATTTGCCACGCCTTTCTACTCTAACACAATGAAACGCGAACGTTTTCTACACATTCTTCGCTTTCTTCATTTTGCAGACAATACAAAAACTCACAGGAATGCCGACAGTTATGACTGACTATGGAAAATTCGGACCATCTTCGACACACTCAGTGACGCATATGGAAAATATTATAACCCTTCTGAACATTTGGCCCTAGGCGAGGTTATTGTTAAATTCAAAGGGAGGGTGGTTTTTAGCCAGTACATTCCTAAGAAACACAAACGTGTTGGAATCAAAATCTTCAAAATTTGTGACGCTGCTGGGTATACTTATGACATGAAGGTTTACCTAGGAAAAGACAGGACACGTGCTGACCAAGACATGACAGCAACACATGTTACAGTTAGGGACCTGTGCAGACGTATTGACGGCATAGGTCACAAACTGTACATGGACAATTTCTTTTCTTCACCAGACTTGTTTGACAAACTGATGACAAAGGACATAACGTGCTGTGGGACAGTCAGACCTAATCAGAAGGGCTTGCCTGATGATTTTCGACGAAGACAGTTTCAACTGATGAAAGGTGACATCCGTGTTAGGGTGAGATGGAACTTGACAGCACTAGTTTGGAAGGACAAACGTGACGTTTACATGCTGACAAACATGCACTGTCCTCCAGCAGAAGGCAATTTCTTTGATGAGCATGGAAATGCCATGAAGCCAGCGATTGTTGTTGACTACAACACGCACATGGGTTATGTCGACAAAGCGGACAGAATGGCAAACAGTTATAGCATCAGTCGTCGGACCTGGAAATGGACAAATAAACTATTTTTCCATCTCCTGAATCTGACGATTGTGAACAGTTTCATCCTGTTGTCATCCTGTGGCGTGAAATTGTCACACAGAGAATTTCGTCTCGCCCTTGTGCGCAACATACTGGAACATGCTGGAAGGGGTCCACCTCGCCCTCAACGGTTCATGGATCGACCTGCTGTGTCATCGGCGATATCTCGATTAGAGGAAGCCACTCGACATCACTGGCCGACTTCCTCTAATAAGAGACTGAGGTGTCCTGTGTGCTCTTCATGTGGGAAACGGCGTTACATCCGGACAAAATGCACAGAGTGCAACGTCGGACTCTGTGTTTCCGGATGTTTCCAACAGTACCACACAAAGGCAACATTCAGTTAGATGATGCAGGAGGGAAGACTGTCTACTTATAAAGCTGGTGCCCAAAAATAATGTAAGTAGAACAAGAATTTCTATCTTAAAATTAGATTTTAAAACACTGTGCGCACGCGTGGACTGCGCGCACCCATACGGTGTCGCATGGCCCCTTGGCTATACTTTAAAGGTCTCCATATGGTTTTGCTAGGCTCTTAAAGGATAATTATCACATAAATTAGTAGTACCCCAAAATTCATAACCCACCAACCAATCTTATCCACTATTCACACACTTCTTCCTGAAACTAATGTGTACATTCCTTGTTTCAGAAAACAAGGGGGTGGAAGAATTGAAATACTTTGTACAGAAAGAAATTGAAAATTATTGAAGACTGAAATATAGTTTCAAGGTAAGTATGAATTACTATTGATCCACGTATTCTTGACCTCTGCACTAGTTGGAGATCAGTGGTCAGCTTCAACCTCTGGCTGCTTTACCCCTGGTGAAATTGCTCCTGGTGAATATGCATAAAGCTTAACAATTTATAAAACAGGCACAAAAATGTCTTATTTCACAAAATTCGCTGTATATTCTCTATGTTGCTATAAAACATAATTTACCAAGTTTAGCATTCAGTTGTAGAGCACAACAATCTTATTCTTTGCAATTTTTGCATTAATCCTATCTCGCTTAATTTCATATTATTTTTAACAAAGATTTTAACAGCTCCTCGAGTTGACTTCAGTCTGCAAAAGCTACTTCCTAGTGTATAATTGTTTAAACTGACCTGCAAGGTATCCAGTACTTTAAAATGATTTGCAGTTAAGCAAAGTTTATGTGGTGAATGGACAATATAAATGACATTAAAAATTCTTCAGTTATTAAAAGAAGTCCTTTAATATTTCAATCGTATAACTAACTATGGAGCTGAGCCCTTCTTGAGAAGCCACCATTTGCACAGGTACTCAAGAACTTCCCAGCAATTTATGGAGCCTGGAGATTAATTACTGTGTTCACAAGTCCTCCACTGGTCCATATCCTGAGCTAGGTCAGTCCAGTCCTCTCTCTCTAAGATCCATTTTAATGTCATCCTCCCACCAACATCAAGGTGTTCCCAGTGGTCTCTTTCCTTCTGGCTTTCTAACCAAGATTCTACATGCATTCCTCTTCTTCCGCATGTGTACCATATGACCTGCCCATTTAATCCTCCTTGACTTGATCATTCTAAGAGAACAAGTTATGAACCTCCTAATTATGCAGTTTTTTCCAACCTTCTATCATTTCATCCCTCTTCAGTCCAAATATTCTCCTGAGTACCATGTTCTCAGACACCCTAAGCCTGTGTTCCTCCCTTGATGTCAGAGACCAACTTTCACACCCATATAAAACCAGAGGCAAAATTATAGTTTTGCATATGTAAATTTTTATGTCTTAGACAGCAAACAAGTTGACGAAAGGTTCTGGACTGAATGGTAGCAAACATTGCCTGAATTCACTCTCCTCTTAACCGTTCAGCGTGGTTTGACGTGTATGTTTCATCAAGGTATTTAAATCGTCTGTGGGGGTTCGACGTCAATGTTTCGTCCAGCTGCACACCTATGTTATAACGCCCATAATAATTGATGGTTTTGCTGTAGATTGTTAGATTTTTCGCTGGCCTGTTGTCAGTAGAACAGTATTTAATGATACACGAGTTTAGCTGCGGTAAGTCATCGTTACATATGCCTGTCTTGCAGCAAAATCGTGTTGCTTCTGGTAGAGGTTTCCTCGTTCAAACTGTTATGAATGGCGTGTTTTCTTTGCTATGAAGTTATAAACAGCAGAGACGTGATATGTGCTGTGTTTATAATATTGTGGGATAAGACTTATACACGTGACCCACAAGATTCGAACTCAAGACACGCTACACTGGTGTCAGAAGTGACTTCGAACTTTAACACGCGTCCACCACAAAGAGAAAAAATGGAGATGCAGCAAATAATGGAACTCCTGCCGGCCATGCGAGAAGACAGAAAAGCTGACCAAGAAAAGGCGTCGGCCGATAGGAAAGCCTACAAGGAAGAAATGGAGGCAAACCAGGCCAAGGCGGAAGCCAGACACGCACAGCTGATGGCCGATTGGAAACCATGGCGAGAAATGGCCGCCATATGGGCCAAGAAGTTGAAAGTCGACATGAACGCCTGGGGGGAAGAGAGGAGAACCACCCACGAAAAGATTGAGCCCCACCCAGAAGCGATGCAGTCCGTACTGGAGCATCGAGAGGTCCCCGTAGAAGACGCCCCGAAAATACCGGTCGGAGAACCGAAGAAACGGTGTAGGGACCAGAAACTGGCCGCGGAGGGCCGCC